TGACTTTTGCGAATAAGTAATTGCTCATAATAATGTATTTGGTTTTAAACCACTGCTTGAATTACATGGAGCAAGATCAGCACTCACTATAATTTGAGCACAGACTTAAATAATAAGTTCTTTCCCACCAAAGTATTGCATTATGTTTTTAATATTGCATTATGTTTCCAAAGGAAGGTGTTGCATCTTTGAAAGACAGAAATGTCACCCTTTAAATATTGTTAAAACTTATAAAACATTTCAAAACTGTGTTGGATATCTCTAACCACTGGCCATTCTCTTATCCTACTAATCTAGGCTAATGAAAAGAGACACAAATGGAGCAGACATTTTAAGTATACATATTTATCTTTTATATAAATTAATGTGTTATATTCAGTGCGCGGGTGGTCAAGAATGGAGGCGAGGCGGCAAAGTAAAGCTAACACTTTTATTCTAACAATGGTTGCCAAACGGGGCTGCTAACACAGAGCCCGCTCAGCTGATGGCAACGGGGAAAATTCCACAGCTCTTTTATACTGAGCTGTCAGACGTGGCAGCCAATCACATTCGAGCATAGCGCCCTCTAGGAAGCGGACCAGAGTGGAGACTTCTGAAAACAACAAATAGAAATATGTTCTCATGAACATAGGTGATGCTTCCATTCATGGAAGTGTCTGAGATCCAGTGAAAACTTCTAATGGGAGAAAAAGAAACAATATGCAACCATTTTACTTTTCCATTTCTCCCTTCCACAAAGAAGTCAACCAAAGGCTTGACGGCTATGGCCGGGAGGTCTTTTTATCAGGTTCGCCTGATTCGCCAGTTGCGTCCCTTTCTGGATCGGGACTCGTTAAATACGGTCACTCATGCCCTCGTCACTTCACGCCTGGACTACTGTAATGCTCTCTACATGGGGCTCCCCTTGAGGAGCACCCGGAGGCTCCAGCTGGTCCAGAATGCGGCCGCGCGGGTAGTTATGGGAGCAGCATGGCACTCCCATGTGGCTCCCCTCCTGCGCGAGCTGCACTGGCTCCCTGTGGTCTTCCGGGTGCGCTTCAAGGTCTTAGTTACCACCTTTAGAGCACTCCATGGCTTAGGACCGGGGTACTTACGAGACCGCCTTCTGCCACCAATAGCCTCTCACCGCCCAGTACGCTCCCATAGAGAGAGACTTCTCAGGGTGCCATCAGCCAAACAGTGTCGACTGGCGGCCCCCAGGGGGAGAGCCTTTTCTGTGGGGGCACCCACCATCTGGAACGAGCTCCCCCCAGAGATACAGAAGATTCCGGATCTGCGCACTTTCCGCCGTGCCCTCAAAACATTCCTGTTTCAGCAGGCCGGCCTGGCCTAACTTTCCCTTTATATTGCTTTCGATTTTATTTTAAACTGGGATGTCTTGAATTATCTAGGACCAGAGTGTTTAGTATATTTTAATTGGTTTTTGTTTAATTAACATTTGTATTACATGTATTTTTTATCGTTTGCTGTTCACCGCCCTGAGTCCCTCAGGAATAGGGTGGTATATAAATTTAATAAATAAATAAATAAATAAATAAATAAATAAATAAATAAATAAATAAAGGAACACAAGCAAGGTTGTGCTGGAAAGGCTGTGAAAGAAGATGATCTTTATTAGTTTTTTACTAGCTGGAGAAGTAACGAAATAAAATAGAATGAAAATAGTTATTCTGACTATTGACTCTGACATATATTCAAGGTTTTGGGGAATAAAATCAAAATATTTGATTGAAATATTTAAATTATTTTATAAAGAGGAGCTATGGAATGTAGACAGTAGAAAGTAGACAGTGGAAAGACAGTAGTAATAATGCTTTTCTAAACCTGGTGTTTATATACATGTTGCATTACAAATATATGTTATATTACATCTCCACAGAGGTGGTATTCAGCCGGTTCGATTTGGTTTGGGCAAACTGTTGGTGGAAATTTGGCCAAGGTTGCCAAACCGGTAGCAATGGCCGGCTGGCCACACCCCCAAACTAGTCCCGATTGCCGCTCGCTTGCCCCGCCTGCCATGTTCGTTGCTGCCATGTTCTTCGCGCACGCGCATCTCATTGCCTTGCAAGTCCAATGGGATGTGCATGCATGAACGTGGCAGTGACAGCAGCAGCTTTTTCCGCGACCTCTGGTACTTTTTGGGAGGTTTATTTGCCAGCCACTTTCCAGCAGTGACGGCTGGCTGGGGGCCGCCAAAAACTCCAGTCAGTTTGCCTTCCGGACTCTGGACCAGCCACCATGGAAGGTAAGCAGCCTGAACAAAGAGGCAGTGGTGGGGGAGAAAGAGGGTTTAAGGCCGGGGCCACTAAAGGAGGGGAAACGGGGGCAACTGGCGAAGGGAGGGTGGATAGGTGGAAATTCCAAAATGTTTCTACCTTTTCCTATGGGTGTGGCTAGGTGGGGGAATCATGTGACCAAGTGGGCATGTGTGACATCAAGTTGGCCACGCTCACTCAGTCACATGCTCCCCCCCTAGCCACACCCACCGAACCGCTAGCAAAAAATTTTGAAACCCACCACTGCATCTCCAGCCTAACATTCCCTTTTGGGGAATCCTGAGTCTCCCAAATGTGTGCAATTTTAAGTTTAAAGTATTAGTATTTACAGTTCTTGGAAAATAAATGTTGGTCATCTGTTCTAAATCTTAGAAGACCAAGATGTCAATGTACCAAGTTATCAGTCTGAAATACAGTAGTGTTTCCAAATCTGGGCTTGCAAAAAAATCAGACACCACTAGATGGCAGCAAAATATTAGTTTTCTTTATCTCTGCACTTCTGCCATCTCTTGACCACATAGATTTTTGCATCTCAAATCTGGCAGCTACACTCTTGCGATATCAATTATATCTTTTCAGTAACATGTACAGTATCTGTTCCTGCCATGGGACATATATAACTATTGCCAAAAAGAGAGCGCTCGCGTGCCACCAAGTGCCGAAAAGGAAGCACTTCGCATGCTCGTCAGGGTCATGACCAGAAAGAGGACTGCCCGGGGGGCATGCGCTCGCCGGATAAGGTACTTCCAGTTTCTGGCATGTGCATGCGCATTGGCAAACAAGTCTTCCGGTTACTGCCGCGCATGCACATGCGCAGATCAGCTGGCCTGCATGCATGCTCACGCTGCAAAACAGAAGATCAGCTCTTCCAGTTTCCTGCACTGCCACATGCACAAAGGCCAGCTGATCATCACATGTGCATGCGTGCCAGAAACCTGGAAGAGGAATGGGCAACGCCACACGTGCCAGGCAACATGGTTCCGCGTGCCACTTTGGGCATGCCATAGATTCACCATCATAGAGATAGACACATTATGTTAGGGCATGGTTTGCTTAACCCTGATTTCTTGAACCCCACATGGTTAGGCTCATATAATATTATAACCCAAAATCAAGCCACATTTTTTATTCCTCATACTGCTTTTCAGTCACGCCATATAAAATTATTTTGATTATAAAACAATGCAGAAAAATTATGTTCAGTGACTATTCATTCAGTTAGTCTCTGAGTGTGAGGGTATAAAGCAAATTAGTCACATTAATGGCACCCAAAGCAGACAAGTTGTTCACTTAACCTCCTCCAGGCATACTTCAAATATGTTGGTGAGGCAGTATAGAATGGTTTTTTTTAATTTTTATTTATTTATTTATTTATTTATTTATTTATATTTATTTATTTATTTATTTTTATATGCCGCCCTTCTCCGGAGACTCAGGGCGGCTTACAATGCGTTAAGCAATAGCCTTCATATTTTTGTATATTTTATACAAAGTCAATTTATTGCCCCCACAAACCGGGTCCTCATTTTACCCACCTTAGAAAGGATGGAAGGCTGAGTCGACCTTGAGCCTGGTGAGAATTGAACTCGCAGTAATTGCAGGCAGCTGGATGTTAAATGCTGCCTTAGTAGGAGGCATTAGCCTCCTACGCCACTCAGGCTCATCTCCATCCCAAATCCTGTAAACTCTGTCTTGTTTTTATGTCATGTTTCCAAGTAGAGCTTTTATGCCTATAGCTGAAATCCAGAATTTACATGTCATACATATCACAAGATAAAATTACAAACTACTGTTCTCAGTCCCTCAACAGCATTGCTGATAGTTGTGGATACAAGAGCTCTGCCTTCTTTTCCCACTGTACAGCTAATGTTCACAAGAAACTAAAATTTGGTGATGGGTTTCTGGGGGAGAGAGAGGAGGTTAAGATGTGTCTGTGAGTGAAACACAGAAAATATAAAAAGGTATGTGTTCATAGATATACGTGGGAGCCAGAGCTCCAACCTTGTAGGCTATTTGGCGATCAAAGCCACAAATATATCCAAACCTTGTAAAATTAAGCCACAGGTTCCCATACTGTGAGCCATGACCCCTAAGAGGTTGTGAGCAAATTCAGTGGGTGGGGAAAATGCAGCTGCCAGAGCCAATAGGGGAATGTGCTTCATCATTGCTCAGCTGTTGGCTCAGCTGTCCTTCCACCCACATAGGTGATGCTGAATGATTCTTGCTTCTTCCTCAGCTGCTCAGCCTTCCTTCTAGCCTCAACGCTCTTCTAGACCATTGGGCTAGAAACAGTCTCAGCAACATCATCCAGGAAAGGTTAGTAGAGAGGCTAAGCCTGCCTCCATCCAAATATGAAACTGCACATAAGTCCATGTTGTCATGTATACACACCATACCCATGTTGCTTGGACTTGTGCATTTGGTCATACAATATCCTAGGGCAGGGGTCTGCAACCCTTAAACACTGAGAGAGCCATTTGGACCCGTTTCCACAGAAAACAAAACACCGGGAGCCACAAAACCCAGGTGGGCATTGCCAACTTGACATCTCTCCCCCACCCAGTCACATGACTCCCTTAGCTACGCCTGCCTAGCTGGTCATTAGGGCAGAGAACTGGTTGTTAAAAAGCACAGGAAACCACAAAACCCTTTTGACATCTCTCGCTCTCTCTCTCTCTGTCTCCCCCCTCTCTCCCTATCGCCCCCCTCTCTCTTATGCAACAGAATTCTCAGAAACGATGAGGATGACGACAACACACAAGATAATGAGATTGTATAAAAAGAAACAGGCACTGGAAAGTCCCCTCCTCCTCGCATTTAATTAAGTCCTGAAGAAGGATCATTAGTGGAAAAACAGAAATGTGTGTGTGTGAGAGCAAAGATGTGAAAATTTAGTGAGTTTATTTTGCACTTTTTTTCTTCTTCATCATCATCACTGTATCATTATTATTATTTAAATATTACTTTATTAGTATTAATGCTATTGTTGTTAGTGTGCTTTCCAATGTGACACCGATGAAAATGTTATATAGTACATTGAAAAAAAAAATTCTACACACTTTAGCCCATCTCAGCTGGCCCTCTCCAGGCCACTTGTCCTTTGGCACAGCTCTCACATTACCATCCCCAATGGGCAGCCACGTTGATTTTCTTCCAACTCCTGTATCCCTAAATAGAGAAACTGTTCATGTTGTTATTTCAGTTACCCCGAATGGGAGAAGTGGCTGTCCTGAGTCTGCTCTTTTTTTGGAATGAGGATTCTGTAAATATGCACCCAGTTTGTGGAAGAAATACCTCTAGTTCTTGTTTCATCTGGAATTAGGAAAGTGGATGTTGCCCAAGACTTTTGTCTGTGATCTGTCAACTCTTCCTTTTAGGGAGGGATCACCTTAAATAGACTGAGGCTGTGCTGATTCCTATGTGGTATCCAGTGTATTGGTAAATTGTATTCATGGGAAAAGGGGGCTCCATATAAATTCCTGTATTATTTTAGGGGGATCATGGCACCATAAAATTTGAGAGTAACTTGGTTAAGTGAACAAAATATAATTACACATCATGCAACATTCCATTCCCACCAGAAGATTGTAGTTTAAAGACTCTACTGCTGTTTTGAGTACAATTACTGTGAATAGGAGCCATGAGCACAGTGAGATTAATTTGTAAGCAAACATGCATTTGATTGGCCTGTATGTCAATGTTAAAAGCTGATTAAACAAAAAGATACCATGGCAAATGGGAATTTTCCCAGGCATTTTAATGAAGTGACAATGCAGACAAATGTGAGAAATCTTTTTTAGGAGGTTTTTTTTTTAGAAAGAAACATTTTTTTATTTTTTTTCCTAACCCCATATTATTTTCTTAAAAATTCATTTCATTTTTAATATTCAGTACATAGTAATATTTGACCTCTAATATAGTACTAAAAAGCAATAAGGTATTTCCAATTATATAAATATTTGATCTTGAATATATCACATCAGGCAATTAGGTATAACTAGTAATTTTGGTAGATTCCCAAATGCAAAAGGATTTCCTTTATTTTCAAGCCAAAATAAACTAGGAGGCCAAAAACACTGAGTATTTTCAGGAATTGACATTGACAACTGACGAAGCACCGGATTGTTTTGGCATGTAATTCATGTAGCTAATCTTTTCAGGACTAGATTTATGTTATTTAACTGAGTCAATTTACCATGGTAAACTAAGAAAAAGTTCCGTCTTGTTTTGTTTCGTTTTTGCTTGCTTGTTTTGTTGACTACCCACTACGACTGCTGGAAACGGGCTGAATGAAAGCATATGATTTAAACATTTTTAATGCATTTTAAATTAGCTGAGGTTTAAGTGAGTTGAAATTAAATCTCTTCCAGTGACCTCTGTGGATCTTTTATTTATGTTAATGTCCACTCTCCCATATATTTAGCTCAAAAATATATTCGAGCTTTTTACATTTTTCAAGGAGACTCATTAATTTCATCAGATAGTATCCTGCAAGGTAGAGATTGAGACACAATAAACTACATCAAGAATTTGTTCTAAACCACAGAACATTGCAAGAACATTATTCATATATTGGAATTTATAATCCATTAGGATTTCCTTGCCTTTGGTGCCATGAAATAGAAAATGGGATATGTGTTTAATAAAATAAGGGAAAGTTTAATAAGATACATTTGTGATCATTTATCTATTCTATTGTAGCTAGGCTCAGGTTAGAAGAGTTAAGATTAGCTCAGCTTTGGCAAATAACATTATAAAGATAAATCTCTGCTTCTTTAACAAACTATTTAACCATTTATTTGAAGAGTTCATTGACTCATTTGAAATCAGGCAAAACTTTTTGTGAACATCATTCCACAGACAGAGCACTACAGTTCAAGAACTAGCTTTTTTATTAACACTGTACAATAATCTAGAATCACTGGAGGAAAGACTTAGAAAATGATGTTTGGGCATATTTCTGAAAGAATAGGCTACCTTTCTGCATGTTCATCATCCTTTGGCAGTATAAATATTTGTCATATAAACAACCTTCCATTCTATATTCTGAGTTCCTAGGAAAAAGTCTACCTTCCAGAAGTCTTGGCTATTTGTTTTAGCAGATTCTATCTCTATCTTATTAAAGGTAATCCTCAACTTGTGACTGGTCACTGAGCAGCCATTCAAAGTTCTGACAGATTTCCAAAATGTACTTACAACTTGGATTCAAAATTCTGACAGCTGCTCTCCACCCAACCCCCAACCCCATAAGTGATTGCATTTTGGGTGCTCAGCAACCGGCCCTCATTTATAGTCATTTGCAGCATCCTGTGGTCTCAAATGTGATTTACACATTTTTTTGGGGATGGAAACTGGTGATTACTTCCAGCAAAAAACACCTATTTTGGACATTGAGTTTGCTTAACGACCATGATTGTAAGATTTATTATTGTAAGCTGCCCAGAGTTACCCTGTGGTAAGATGGGCAGCCAATAAATTTTATAAACAAATCTATCCAGCCATCCATCCTACCACTGCAAAAATGTCATAAAATCAGGTTAGTCACATGGGTGCCTCATCTTACAACCATCATGAGATATGACAAAAATTCCAGCTTCCGTTATAGTTGTAAATCGAGGACTACCTGCATAACATTTTCTAATAGTTGGACCAGTCTGAAACAGAACGGTCCAACTATTCTCTGAATTGCATTATGTACCCTAAAATAGGTTGAAATAAGATTATTTAACTGAGTGAATTATTCAACTCAAGGGGCAGAAGTCTTCAAAGAATTATTTAAAGCATAGGATTATTCAGAAAAATTATTCAAAGAGAGAGAAGTATTTTCAGGGATATATATTTATATAGTACAGAAAATTATCTGTCACTATTGCATTCTATATTTGACACTATAATAATATTTGACACTAATATAATAATAGCATATTATTTTTAATTGTATTTTCCAACTTATATTCCAGCTGTATATTGCAATGTCAACATAAACATTTTTAACATCAGCAATTACAGGAATATTCTAAAGATAAAACAAGAGATACCAGTGCTATAGTCAATAAAACAAGATGCCATTGCTTTTTACTATTTAAATCAGAAAACATTTTAATACTTTATTAATCATTTATGTTTACGACAAGTTAGCATTATGTTGCTACCAGAGGAGCACAGGACAAAAATATTAGTATTTTTTAAATTGTTACTCAAATGCTTTCTCAATATCTGGTCCATTGTGCCCAAATAATATGTGCCCAGCATTTAATTTCTTAATTATTGGAGAACCTATGTATTCATCTATGTATTCATGAACATAAATACATCCATGTAGCTCTGAGTTTCCATGTATTTTTGTAGAATTGTAAGCCACAGCCGCCTATGGAAAGTTCAACAATCACATTGTGGTCATTAGCTAGAGCACAACTGAACTTCGACAGCAGCACATGAACCAGAAACCAATGCTATGCACCCAGTAACTATAGCTTTTTCAAATATTACTCTGGGCAAATGAGAAAGTCAATGTCAGCCCCCAGGGGGACAGCGTTCTCTGTGGGAGCGCTGACCCTCTGGAATGGGCTGCCCACCGGCCTCAGGACAGCCCCTGACCTCCTCTCCTTCTGCCGCGAATTGAAGACGTCGCTTTTTCACCAAATGGGCTGAATCTGTAGGGGAGATTTTTAATAATTTTAATTAAATTTTTAATTAATTTTAACTAATTTTAAATTGACCTTGATGTTTATGTAATTTTTTTTTGTTCCTTCTTGTAAGCCGCCCTGAGTCCTTTGGGAGAAGGGCGGCATATAAATTACATAAATAAATAAATAAAATAAATATTAGGAGACAATGTTAATGCATACCCAAGTGTCAACAAGGAGGAATCTATGATTGTCTTATGCATGAGCACTGTGCACAGAAGACAACTTATGAACACTGCATATGTGTTGGAACAGCAACCTTCAGAATTCCTGGCCAATATGAATAACCCCAGGCACCTCAGAAAGTTATAGTCCCAACAAATTTATCTGGAGCAGGGCTGAGAAATAAACATTTGAAATAATGAGGATCTTATAATTGCTAACTAAAAAATTAACAACAGAATTAAATAAAAGTTCATCAGAACAAAGAATATTCCTATCAAAGTCCTACATTGTTTCCGAATGGAAAACTTCCTGTTAGTATTATAATTTGAATTTAATAACAGTTAAAAACCATTTCCAATTGGGAATTTAATTTACCACTGGTAGTACTGGCAGCAAGCTATTACCTAGTTTCTGGATCTCTCTAAGTAAAAGCAGACACTTCACAGGGTGTATTGAAATGTGTATCCCGAAAACTTTAGACAAAATAACATCTAAAACATCCCACCTCTAAGTTGTTTGCCCAGAGAATAAATTGAATTAAAGGCAGTTGGGATTCAAAGTTAAATCACATTATCTATTGAACTTAATTTGAGCTATTGGCAAAAGTAGGGGATTTACATCAAATGCAAAATGATAATCAACAACTGTGGTAAGGATTTAAAATAATGTTCATCTAATTCTCTCATAGATTTCCATATAGACAATATGTGAAATGTGTATGCAGAGAGACTCAGTAACAGTAACAGAGCTGGAAGGGATCTTTTGGAGGTCATCTAGTCCAACCCCCTGCTCATGCAGGAGACCTGTACTAGGGATTCGAACTGCCGACCTTTCTGATCGCCAAGCTCAGTGTCTTAGCCACTGAGACACCTAGTCAGGATCAATTTGCCTCTTGTGCAGAATATAGTAGAGTTTATAAACCGCATGTAAAATGCCAACCTTACTATGGATTAATAATGGAGAATGGCATCTGAGAATTCCTTTTAAGAGCTGAATATCCAGATGTGTCTGGATATGTATATCAGATGCATGTCAAGCTGTGT